GGGGGACACTGGGGGGACACTGGGGGGTTCAGTGCCCCCGTTTTCCCCCAGGGCTTTTGGGGGGGTCTCCATTTGGGGTCTCCACTGGGGGGTCTCCACTGGGGGTCTCCACTGGGGGGGTCTCCACTGGGGGTCTCCATTTGGGGTCTCCATTGGGGGGGTCTCCATTTGGGGTCTCCACTGGGGGGTCTCCACTGGGGGTCTCCACTGGGGGGGTCTCCACTGGGGGTCTCCATTTGGGGTCTCCATTGGGGGGGTCTCCATTTGGGGTCTCCATTTGGGGTCTCCATGGCAAGGAGCGCTCCCCACCACGGGAGGGTCTCTGTCCCGGGGTCTCTGTCCCGGGGTCTCTGTCCCGGGGTCCCTGATGTGTCCCCGGTGTCCCCAGGCGTGGTGCGGGCGCTGCACCAGCGCGGGGCCCTGGCCCGCGTCTTCTGCACCGAGACCCGGCCCTACAACCAGGGCTCGCGGCTGTCGGCGCTCGAGCTGCGCCACGACGGCGTCCCCGTCACCCTCATCGCCGACAGCGCCGCCGCCGCCGCCATGAGGGAGCGTGGAGTCCAGGGTGAGGGCCGGGAGGGCCGGGGGTGACACGGGGTGGGGACAAGGAGGGACACGGGGTGGGTGACACGGGGTGGGGACAGGTGACACAGGATGGTTGACAGGACTGGGGACAGGTGACAGACGGTGGGTGACACAGGATGGGGACAAGGAGGGACACGGGGTGGGTGACAGGGGCTGGGGACAGGTGACACAGGGTGGGGACAGGTGACATGGGATGGGTGACAGGGGCTAGGGACAAGGAGGGACACGGGGTGGGTGACGGGCTGGGGACAGGTGACACAGGGTGGGGACAAGGAGGGACACGGGGTGGGTGACGGGCTGGGGACAGGTGACACGGGGTGGGGACAGGTGACATGGGATGGGTGACAGGGGCTAGGGACAAGGAGGGACACGGGATGGGGACAGGGACTGGGAACAGGTGACACAGGGTGGGTGACAGGACTGGGGACAGGTGACATGGGATGGGTGACAGGACTAGGGACAGGTGACACAGGGTGGGGACAGGTGACACAGGGTGGGTGACAGGGCTGGGGACAGGTGATGGGGTGGGTGACAGGTGACACGGGAAGGGATGGGACAGAGGCGGGGTCACAGGGAGAGCCAGGTGACACAGGCTGGGGACAGGTGACACGGGACGGGTGGCACAGGCTGGGGACAGGTGACACGGGATGGGTGGCACAGGCTGGGGACAGGTGACACAGGCTGGGTGGCACAGGCTGGGGACAGGTGACACAGGCTGGGGACAGGTGACACAGGACAGGTGACACAGGCTGGGGACAGGTGACACAGGCTGGGGACAGGTGACACAGGACAGCTTCCCCTGACCCTGCTCTGTCCCCAGCCGTGGTGGTGGGCGCCGACCGCGTGGCCGCCAACGGGGACGTGGCCAACAAGATCGGGACGTTCCAGCTGGCGGTGGCCGCGCGGCACTTGGGGATCCCGTTCTACGTGGCCGCCCCGAGCAGCACCTGCGACCCCTCGCTGGCCTCGGGCCGCCTGATCCCCATCGAGGAGCGCCCGGGCACGGAGCTCACCCAGCTCGGGGGCGTCCTCCTGGCTGAGCCCGGTGGGTGCCGCGCGTGGGGAGGGATCCGGGGTGTCCCGGGGGTCGGGGGGGGTCCCGTGCGGGGTTTGGGGTGTCCCGGGGGTCAGGGAGGGTCCCATGGAGGGTTTGTGTGTGGGGTTTGGGGTGTCCCGGTGCCCGGGGAGGGTCCCACGCGGGGTTTGTGTGCGGGCTCCGGGGTGTCCCGGGGGTCAGCGGGTGCCGTCCCTGCCCTCTGAGCCGCGTTCCCTCCTCCTCCTCCTCCTCCTCCTGCAGAGGTCGATGTGTGGAACCCGGCTTTTGACGTCACGCCCCATGAGCTCATCACGGGGGGCATCATCACCGAGTGCGGCGTCTTCGCCCCCTCCGAGCTGTTCCGGGCGCTGGCGGAGCGGGGGCAGCAGTGACGGCTTCCGCCTCGGTACATCCCGGCATGCATTGGGGCGTGCCCCGGTACATCCCGGCGTGCATTGCGGTGTGCCTCGGTGTAGCCCGGTGTGCCCCGGTGTGCCTCGGTAAATCCCGGCGTGCCTTGCGGCGTGCCCCGGTGTATCCCGGCGTGCCTTGCGGCGTGCCTTGGTGTAGCCCGTTGTGCCTCGGTAAATCCCGGCATGCCTTGCGGCGTGCCCCGGTCTATCCCGGCGTGCCTTGCGGTGTGCCCCGGTGTATCCCGGCAGGCTTTGCCTCAATAAAGCCCCGGTACATCCCAGCATGCATTGCGGTGTGCCTCGGTGTATCCCGGCATGCTCTGCGGTGTGCCCCGGTGTATCCCGGCGTGCCTTGCGGCGTGCCTTGGTGTAGCCCGTTGTGCCTCGGTAAATCCCGGCATGCCTTGCGGCGTGCCCCGGTCTATCCCGGCGTGCCTTGCGGTGTGCCCCGGTGTATCCCGGCAGGCTTTGCCTCAATAAAGCCCCGGTACATCCCAGCATGCATTGCGGTGTGCCTCGGTGTATCCCGGCATGCTCTGCGGTGTGCCCCGGTGTATCCCGGCAGCCTTTCCCTCAATAAATCCCCGGTGTATCCCGGCAGCCTTTGCGGCGTTAGGCCTCGGTGTTTCCGTGCCTGCTCGGGCCGTGAGGCGGAAGCGGCGGCGATGGCGCAGGGCCAGCCCAAGGCTGTGGCCAAGCGTCCTAAGGCAGCGGCGGCAGCAGCGGCGGCGGCCCGGGGGAGCCGGGGCCCGCGGAAGGGAGGTGAGGTGGGTCCCGGGGCCGGTAGGGGCAGGGGGCTCCGGGGGTTGCTCGGGGGAGCCCCGAGGTGCGGAGAGAGAGGAGCCGCAGCACCGCGGGGTGCGGGAGGGGCTCCGGTTTGTGGTTCCCTACAAGTCCTGGGGGGTTCCCGATGCCCTCCCTGGGGGGACACTCGGTGTCGGGGAGCTCGGGGCTGGCAGTGCGGGGCTCCCGGGGATCTCCCGGGGGTCTCAGCCCAGCCGTGCCCTCCTCAGGCCGCACCATCGCCCCGAAGAAGCTCCGCGTGGTCCAACAGCAGAAGCTGAAGAAGGTGAGGGGGGAGCGTGGCGGGGTCCCGAGGGGAATTGGGGGGCCCCCACCGGTGCCCCCCTGACCCCCCCGTGCTCTCCGCAGCGCCTGGAGGTCGGGATCCGGATGCGGATCGAGCGGGAGACCGTGCAGCGAGCGCAGGGCGGCCTCCCCAAAAAGCTGGCGCTGGTCACGGCGCCGGCCCCCGCCAAGGACAAAGGCAAGAAGGGCCGCGGCTGAGCCCCACCGGGAAACGACCCCCGAACCCCCCTCCAGGGACCTCCGCCAGGCTCTGGGGGAGTCCGGGCTGTTCTCAGCCCCACCATCGTTCTTTAATAAAAGGGATTTGCGGGCGGCGTCCCCCCCGCGCCCACCAGGCCGGTGTGTGATTTGGGGGGCCGGGGGTGCGGCTGCAGAGGGCTTGGGGAGCTCCTGGGTGAGACCTCTGGGGAAGGGCGGGGGGACACCGTGGAGCCCCGAGATCGGGGAGGCTCCTGGCGGTGTCCCGGTACCCCCGGAAGGGTTCTAGGGGGAGGTGTCCGTGTTCCCGGGGGTCTGGAGGGAGGGTCTCTGCGTCCCCGGGGGTCTCAAGGAGATGGCACTGTCCCCCAGGGGGTCGTTTCCGTGCGGGTCGTGGTGTCTCTGGGGGCTCCTGGTGTCTTCCAGGGGTTTTGGGGTTGTCTCAGGGATTCTGTGAGTCCCCGAGGGCCTCCTGGAGGCGGTCCCGGTGTCTCTGGGGGCGCTCTCTGAGGGGTCTCGGTGGATTCCCCATCCCGTCCCTTCCCCGTTTCCCGGCATCGCCGCATTTTATGAATGGATCGCCAGGCCCCGCCTCTTTCCCGTGGCTCCGCCCTCCCGCCACGCTGATTGGTGGGCTGTGACTTGACTGACAGCTCGCCCCGCCCCGCGCTGAGTGACAGCGCGCGGAGCCAGGCCAGCCAATGGGAGCGCGGAGGGGGCGTGGCCTGCGCCTGCGGGGACCACGCCCCTTTCCGGGAATGGCAAAGACACGTGGGTGCCTCCCCTCCCCCACCGTGGGTGTGGCCGGGGAGGGCGTGGTCGGCGCACAAAGCCCCGCCTCCAATGACGTCAGGGAAATTCCCTGGAATCGGCGCCGCCGGGTTTATTTTGGGAAACAAACAGGGAACGGTTGGGGGAGGGGCTGGACGCCGGAGCCCCCCCCGGGGCCTCGCGTGGGGCGGGGCCCCCCAGACCCCTCCGAACCCCTCCCGTGACTCACCCGCAGCCGGGGGGGAAGGGGTGGGGAACGGGGAACAGCAGCCACGCCCCACAGCCCCCCCGGGCCCTCCAGCAAAACCCACCAACCCCCAGAAACCCCCCCAGCCCCCCACAAACCGCCCGTGCCCCCTCACCCCCTCCTAGCACCCCACGACCCCCGGCAGCCATGGTTCCAACCGTGTTGGGGGGTCCTCGCCCCCGCTCCCCTAATTTTTGGGTAAACCCTCCGGGGGCTTTGGGGTTTTGGTGCTCTGGAAGATCCTGAGGGTCCCGGAGAGCTTGGAGAGAGTGACGGGCACACGGACCGGAGGGTTTGGGGGGGTCCCCGGCGGGCGTGGAGGGTTCAGGGAGAGTCGGGGACCCCCAGGGGGGTCTCGGGGTGCGGGGGCCCGACCCCT